ACAATTATGCACAGTTTCATCAGTCCACATCGTGCTCTCTTGCCGTGCGGATCTACTTGCTTTTTGCTTAAGGAAGTGTTACTACTACCTAAAGCTACAACAAATTTAAACAGCACTTTTCAGTGCTCAACCTGTAAAAAATGTTCTACCTTGTTCAACTCTTATTCCTCTTCGATCCTTGTTTGGACCCTACCCGAGGTAATCCTTCTTGGATATCGATTTGGAAAATTCCTCTTCGATCCTTCAGATTCTTATAGTAATCTGCTTGGAAGTCGATTTGAATACAAAATTTACTGCCGCCATGGCGCCTAAACGCAAAAGAAAGGGGCAAACTCTTGATCCCCCTTATGATGAAATTAATTTGAGTAATCAATTTGATTTGCTCACGGATGATGAGAATGATCCATCATCCAAGAAAAATTCTAGTAAACTTTCCCGGCTTAATGCCAAGAAGGAAAACGTTCCCCCTATTGTGATAACCACTTCCGATTTCCATGCTCTTCGCATGGAACTTTTGAATTTAGTGAAAGTTAAGTTTGCACTACAAATTGGACGTCGGGGTGAATGCCGTGTATTGGCTGAAACCTTGGACGGATTTAAATGTCTTCTCAAGTATCTTACTGAGAAGAAGCACAAATTTTTTACTTACGACACCAAAACTGAACGTGTGTTCAAAGTTGTTATGAAAGAACTGCCCAGTGGTGAATCCCTGGATCAGATCAAAGATGAACTGGCAAAATTACTTGGAGTTGTGCCACTCCAAATAATCAAACTGAAAATGAAATCCCGTCCTGGCGATTCACGCAACGGAATTTCTAATGATTTTTATTTAGTTCACTTCAAGTCTAGTGAACTAAACAACCTTAAGGCCTTAGAAAAAGCTAGCCTTATGCTCCATGTCCGAGTGAAGTGGGAACATTTCAGGAAGACTGGAGGAAATTTCCAAAACCTCACTCAGTGCCGTAAGTGCCAGGGATGGGGTCACGAAACTAAAAATTGCTACATGCCAGCTAAATGCATGAATTGTAGTGATTCCTCTCACGCAAAGGACGACTGTCCTGTGAAGGAAGATCCTAAGAAATTTAAATGTTCAAATTGTGGTGAAAACCACAAATCCAAGTTTTGGGAATGTAAGACTCGCAAAGCGATCCTACAATCTCGTTCTAAGCGACAGGTAGGAAACGCTCCACGTTTTCGACCAGGTACAAATTCCTCTGCTGTTAACAACGGTCAGCGAGGAACAAATTCTAAATTCGTACCCGTAGGTACAAATATCACCCCTGCTTCAAATGTTTCATCTGTACCTACTCCCCTCGCTGCTGACAATGTTCAGCGAGTTAATAGAGCTACCTATGCTGCTATTGCAACGGGTAGAAATCAAAATACTAACCAACGTTCTAACGGAAATTTTGACAATTTTGACTTAGGAAGCATTACTGCCCCTAAAATGGAATTTTTACAGAATTCATTAATTGACATGATTTCTGATATGCTTAAATCTAACTCCATGTTAGATGCTATTCAAACTGGAGTAAAATTTGCTAACAATATTGTCATGACTTTAAAATTCAGTAATGTATTTTAAAGCCCTACATATTTTAAATTGGAATGCTCGATCTCTTAAAGATAATGAAGACGAGCTATTTAACTTTTTGAGAGTTCATAACGTGCATATTTCCGTTATAACTGAAACGTTCCTTAAACCTGACCATAAGGTTAAGAAGGACTCAAATTATTTAATTTATAGAAATGATCGTCTTGATGGACCCTGTGGTGGCGTTGCCATCATTGTTCATAGAAGAATCAAACATAAAATTCTTTCTTCATTTGAAACCAAAGTTTTTGAAACTTTGGGAGTTTCTGTTGAAACAAAATTTGGACAACTTACGTTTATAGCTGCCTATTTGCCATTCCAATGCGTAGGCCAGAAAAAGAATTTTCTCAAGGGTGACCTCCAGAAACTTACCCGTCATAGGTCTAAATTCTTCATTATTGGTGATTTTAATGCAAAACACCGCTCATGGAATAATGCTCAAAGCAGTTCCAATGGTAATATTCTGTTTGATGATTGTTCTGCAGGTTATTACACTATTCAATATCCAAACAGTCCAACATGCTTTTCTTCTGCAAGAAATCCCTCAACTATTGATTTGGTCTTAACTGATTCATGTCAACTTTGTAGCCAATTGGTTACCCATGCTGACTTTGATTCTGATCACCTTCCAGTAACTTTTGAAATATCCCAAGAAATAATTTGTAATCCCAACAGCTCTATTTTCAATTACTATAGAGCTGATTGGGAGCAATATCGAACATTTATGGAATATAACTTCGATCCAAACATTCTTTTGCAAACCAACGATGAAATTAATTATGCTCTTAAATCTCTGACTACTTCTATAGTAGAAGCAAGAGCTGCCTCAGTACCAAAATGCGAGGTTAAATTCGATTCTCTTAAAAATGTCCGTAGGAGACAATATCAAAGAACACGCGATCCTGCCATGAAAGTTATCTGGCGGGATTTGCAAAAACAATTCTCTGCCCTGAGGAACAAAACTTTTGAAAATAATGTTTCTAAATTAGACCCGAGCCCCTAACCCTTTTGGAAACTCACAAAAATTTTGAAAAAACCCCAAAAGCCTATTCCAGCGCTTAGAGAAGGTGGTAAAATTTTGATCACAAATTTGGAAAAAGCTCAGAAACTTGCTGAGCGTGAGTTCCCATAATTTAAGTTTAAGTCTTACTAGTCCTATTGAGAATCAGGTTGCTCGGGATTATCTGAATATTTTCTCTCGGGAAAATATTTTCGATGATTCCTGGGGGACTGATTTGGACGAAGTAAGGTCTATAACTAAAAAGTTTCTAAATATGAAAGCTCCAGGTGATGATGGAATTTTCTATATCCTAATCAAAAAACTCCAAGAGAGTTAACTTGTCTTTCTTGGTAAAATTATTTAACAGATGTTTCCATTTGGCATACTTTCCTGATAAATGGAAAAATGCAGAAGTTGTTCCAATTTTGAAGCCGGATAAAAATCCAGCTGAAGCTTCTAGCTACCGTCCAATAAGTTTGCTTTCTTCAATAAGTAAACTTTTTGAAAAGATAATTTTGAATAGAATGATGCTTCCCATCAATACGAACTCAATTTTTGCAGATGAGTTTGGATTTCGCCATGGGCATTCAACTACTCATCAACTCTTAGTTACCAATTTAATTCGTTCAAACAAATCTGAAGGCACCTCAACTGGAGTTGCTCTTCTAGACATAGAAAAAGCATTCGACAGTGTTTGGCATGAAGGTTTGATTGCTAAATTGAAAAAGTTTAATTTTCCGCTTTATATTATGAAATTAGTTCAAAATTATTTAACTGACAGAACTCTGCAGGTAAATTACCAAAATTCCAAATCCAATCGACTACCTGTTAGTGCAGGAGTTCCTCAGGGTAGCATTCTTGAACCTATATTGTATAACATATTCACTTCGGACCTCCCTGATTAGCCTCAGGGTTGCCACAAATCTTTGTTCGCTGATGATACAGCCATTTCCGCTAAAGGTAGAAGTCTTCGTGTTATTTGCAGCAGACTGCAGAAAAGTTTAGATATTTTCTCTTCTTACCAAAATTGAAGATTTCTCCCAACGCTTCCAAAACTCAACTTATAATATTTCCACATAAGCCTAGAGCTTCCTTTTTGAAACCTAGTAGTAGTCACATAGTCACTATGAACGGAGTTCCAATTTCCTGGTCAAACCAAGTGAAATGTCTTGGATTAGTACTTGACCAAAAATTAACTTTTAAAGATCACATCAAGCCAAATGTAACAAATATATAAAATGTTTGTATCCTCTTATTAACAGGAAATCCAAACTTTGCCTGACAAATAAACTTCTAATATTTAAACAAGTTTTTAGACCAGCCATGCTTTTGGCACAGCGTCTTGTTGTTGCACTACCAGGAAAAAAAGCACTTCAAAGGATTCATAAAAAAGTTCTGAAGATGATTTTGAAGTTGACTCCCTGGTACAGTACTACTGAGGTACATAGAATTTCGAATGTTGAGACTTTAGAACAAAATTCCAACAAAATAATTAATAATTTCAGGCAAAAATCGTTGCAATCCTCAATTGCAAAGATTAATTCTCTTTATACTTAGATAAGATTTAGTTTTAGTTTTTAGTTTTAAGATTTCAATTGTGATACTGACATGCAGATTTAAAAAACCTGTTTAAAATACTGAATTGCCAAGACAGGAACAAAGTAAAAATACTTAGATATATATCATAACAATTAAGGCTGGTAAGTTACTGTAGTAACTGGAGCACCTAGGTTAAAATGAAATGTAATTTATTTTGAACTTGAAACAAATAAAGAGTTAAAAAAAAAATGCAGAGTTTCATCACAAATCAGAGAAAATCACGTCTCATCGATTTGTCAGTTGGCGTGGAATTTCCAACAGTCTGCTTAGACTAGTAGAAGAAGTAAAAGATACTGAAGAATTCTACACAATTTAGACGAAATACGCGTATCAGTCGCAATCGTATAGGCGATCAAGGTAGTTGAATTAAATGTTTGTTACTAAAACTCTCTTTCTTTTCACATGCATCCTTCTTCAGGCGCTAACATTTATAATTTTAAAATTGTTACAACAATATAAGAAAGGGTACTTTTGAAGTTATAGTTTTCAATTTCAAAATAAATTTTTAGAGTTTAAAAAATGGCGAAATTGAAGAATATCATCGCACATTACAAATATTTCTTTAAAATAATAATATCCTGCACAAGTCACCATATTATGCCTCATTCATTATGAGAATATATTTTATTTTGATTTTATTACACCAAATGTTTAAATCCGTAGGGATTGTGAGCGTATCTAGATACCACTTTAACGGATGTGTTTTTATTCTTAACGTGGATGCCATCATATTTAAAATATTGCAACAACAAATCGTAAAGTAAAATGCTATTAAGTCGCTGCTTGTGCCGGGTACATGCCACTTACCAAATTTAACCACGCGTTTGTGGTAAGAATCTGGTTCTTCTCATCCTAAAAGTACATTTAAATCGTATTTAATTTGAGTTCACCATTTCCGAAATAAATGAAAACACATTCAAGCTTTTGCATCATTACACAATGAAGACATTACCAAAATATATCCTGCAACAAATTTATTTGGCTCGCACAATTGGATATTGATAAATTTCAGTTAAAACGCATTTGGTCACCGTCATGTAAGCTCTCTTTTGTAACAATAACATTGACTTACCACATCTATGATTTGCTGTAAAGTTAATCCAAACTTCACCTCCAGGGACTCAGATTCATTCGCAACTGGACGCTCGAGCGTGTTGTACGTATTCAACAAATTGTTCAATAATCGTTTTTCGTGGGGACCTTGCAAGCTATCTGTAATTAAAAATAAAAGAAAATACAATTTGATTGAGGAAATTAAAAAAAATATATACACTTGTAGAGGAAAACGGCTATATATGATCAAGAGGACAATTCTTGAGCAACCAAGTTTATTTTGATAACGATGATGCGTTATTAATTCGGTCCATAATTTGTAAAATGAAATATACAGGGTAAGTGTGCCGATTATGGCACGAGTGCTGCAGTTATTGGCACTTGGACCTTACTCAAATTTAAAATAAATGTTCATAGTTTTATTTGCGTAGATAGAGGTAAGAGGGGCATAGTGAACAGGTGGGGCATAGGGAGCATCCCATGCTTGGTCTTCCGGCCGTTCGGAACAAATTGGTTGGTGGTAGGATCAATATCATAATGATATTGAACCTACAACCAGTTGATTTGTTTCATGCAGCTGCAGGAGATCCAGAGCCAAAGTGCGGAATGCTCACTATGCCCCACCTCCTTTCCTTTATTTAACGTCGGTCTCTGTTCCGCAATCTAGTGCCAATCACCGACGGACGTCGATTGCCATCCATTGACGGCAATCGAATGTGCAGGAAGGCAGCTTCCACACCTGCGTAGAATATCGCACCCATTCACAACACACATGGGCCGGGACCAACGGCTTTACTTCCCTTCCAAAGGAAGACGTGACCAGAGATTTTTGTGCCTCAGAAAAATCCCACCGACCTCGGCTGGGATTGAACCCAGGCCCATTGGGGTGTTAGAAAGCAGTCACGCTTACCACTACACCACCGGCGTCGGCTACTATGCCCCACCTGTTCACTATGCCCCTCCTGCCCTTACATTGCAAATTATACCTCGCATTTACTACTAGCATCGTTGTCAATACAAAGTGTTTGACTTACATTTTCTGTAGCCGGCGTTGGAGGCGAACCAGCCCCAGGCTGAAAGCCTCCTTAATAAAGATAAATCAATCAATCAATGTAGCCGGCAAGGTCCAAACACTGATTTAACAAAAATCTCCAATCGTTCAGTTCACTCACCGTTGTTGTCAACCCCGGTAGCACATTTGTACCACTGGAACTCGCTGAGGTCACCTGGTTCGACGCTGGTGATCTCTGCAACTTCCCGCTTCTTGCGAATACGTTCGCTTCTCCGTTTTCTGTGTCCGGCGTGCAACCTTCGTCATTTATTTTTTATTTTTTTTTTCTTCATTATTTTTTGTTTGGTTGTATTACTTCGGAGTAATTACGCATTACGCACCTCACTTTACCTCAGCTGATTGGCACTTCCAGTTTGCTGATGGTCTCTCCAATTTGTGAGCCATTTAGCTCACAGCGTCACGTTCTACTCGGTTATGGTTATCCCCGGTGGGGATTCAGCCTACTCTGACGGAGAGTTCTCCCGGCTTCGGCTTTCAGTTCGCACTTGTGTGAGCACATTACTATTTTCTAGTTGGTCTTCCCGCCATTTTCGCTGCAGCGCTGACATGATCTGTGCGTTACTGCTCTGCTGACGGCGTCGACACATTTCTTCGACTACATTCTCCGTGCTAAAGGCGAGCATATCCTCTCGCACAGCATCTCGCACAAATCTGGGATATTCGAAGACCACGTGCTCTGGTGATTCTTCTTCCACATCATGTGTGTGTTGTGTGTGTGTGTGTGTGTGTGTGTGTGTGTGTGTGTGTGTGTGTGTGTGTGTGTGTGTGTGTGTGTGTGTGTGTGTGTGTGTGTGTGTGTGTGTGTGTGTGTGTGTGTGTGTGTTTTTTTTTTTTTTTTTTTTTTTTTTTTTTTTTTTTTTTTTTTTTTTTATAGTAAGGTTTAGGAAAGCTTCAAGAAGCCTGGCCTGTAGTGAAGGTGGCACGGTGTGGTATCCACTAGTTGCCTAGTGCAGCTCCACTAAAACCCATTCCTTACTCTCTCCTCTGCCTGTATCCCCCCGGGACCACTGTGAAGCGACTACTTCGGGGGGTGGCTGTGCTCATGCACTTGTCGTACTCTCAGCGCTAGCTGGCGTTGCTAGATCGCTGCTCTTCTCTCCATTTACGCTGCAGCTCTGACATAATCTGTGTGACTGCCCTGCTGACGGCATTCCAAGAGTCCTCCTCTCGACACATTTCATCAACGACATTCTCCACGTTAAGGACGGGCATCTCCGTTCGCACTGCCTCGAACCTTGGACAGTCAAAGACCACATGCTCCGGCGTTTCATCGACGTTGCCACACTCCGGACAGAGGGGTGACGCTGCGTGTCCGAACCGATGCAGGTATTTCCTGAAGCAGCCGTGGCCAGACAGGAACTGCGTTAGGTGGAAATTGACTTCTCCGTGTTTTCTGTTCACCCAGGTCGAAAGAATCGGTATTAGTCTATGTGTCCATCTACCGTTCTCCGTCGTGTTCCACTCCTGTTGCCACTTAGCCAATGACTCCACTCTCACAACTTTCCGTACTCTTCCGGCTTCTCTCTGCCTGTAGCACTCACTGTCCTCCGCCAGGGTGATGCCGATAGGGATCATACCGGCGATAACGCATACTGCTTCCGACGAGATGGTTCTGTACGCACTCACGACTCGCATGGCCATGAGCCGGAACGTACTGCTCAGTTTCCTTTGGTTCTGCTTCGTTTCCAGCGCTGGAACCCAGGCTGGACCTCCATATCTCAGTATCGATGATGACACGCTGGCCAGAAGACGCCTCTTGCTACTGCTGGGACCAGCGTTGTTCGGCATGATTCTAGCTATCGCGTTGATGGCCTTCGAAGCCTTCTCACAGGCATATTCGACGTGGCTGTTGAAGTTTAGCCGGTCATCGATCATCACTCCCAGGTATTTTAACACACGCTTCGAGGCTATAGTGTGCTCCCCGACGGTGATTTCCGCCCGCTGTACCGCTTTACAGTTACTGACCAATAACACTTCCGTTTTGTGGTGGGCTATTTGCAGCTTCGCTCCTTTCATCCAGTTACCAATCATGTCGATTGCCTCGGTTGACAACACTTCCACCTCTTCCAGCGTCTCGCCTGTTACCGTCAAGACGACGTCGTCCGCAAAGCCAACGATCTCAACTCCTTTGGGCAGTTTCAGCGTTAGCACGCCGTTGTACATCCCGTTCCAGAGCGTTGGACCAAGGATGGAGCCTTGTGGAACTCCCGCTGTGATCCTAATCGATCTCTGTCCCATGTCTGTCTCGTAGACCAGAACCCGGTTCTGGAAATAACTCCTCAGGATCCTGCACAGGTAGTCAGGGACCCTCATTCTATGCAGTGCTTCGGCGATGGCCTCCCAGCTGGCGCTGTTGAACGCATTCTTGACGTCGATCGTTATGACGGCGCAATATCGATCTCCTCTCCGCTTCTGTTTGGACGCCTTTTCAGCTCTCTCGACCACTGTCCGAATTGCATCCACCGTCGATCTCCCTTTCCGGAATCCGAACTGCCTCTCCGACAATCCGTGCTCACTCTCCGTGTATTTCGTCAGCCTGTTTAGGATGATCCTCTCCAAGAGTTTTCCGAGTGTATCCAGCAGGCATATAGGCCTGTATGATGCTGGATCCCCCGGCGGTTTTCCTGGTTTCGGCAGCAACACTAGCTTCTGTATCTTCCACCTGTCAGGGAAGTGACCCTCGTTCAGGCATTTCTGCAGCACCATCCTGAACATGTCCGGGGATGACTGGATCGCCGCTTTCAACGCTACGTTGGGGATTCCATCCGGACCGGGAGCTTTCTTCACCTTCAATCCTTTCGCCACTACTACGAGCTCCTCGTTGGTGATTTCGACGTTATCTCCCTCTCTTTCTCCGTACGGTGTAGGTGGCCAGGTTGTTGGGTCGTGCTTCGGGAAAAGTCCTTCCACGATTCTCTGGGCACATTTCAGCGGGCATCGTTGGACCTCTGATCTTCGCCATCACGACTCGGTATGCGTCGCCCCAGGGGTTGGCATCAGCGTCTTGACACAGCTCCTTAAAACAGTTCGACTTGCTCTGCTTAATCACTCGTTTAAAAGCGGCCCTGGCCGCTCGAAACACTTCTCTTCGTTCCTCTCTGTCTGCTTCCGTTCTTGCTCTCTGAACACGTCTTCTGGCTCTGAGACAACTAGCGCGGAGAGTACTAAGTGCCTCGTTCCACCAGTAGACTGGACGCCGTCTGTTATTTGGCTCCAGTTTCCTCGGCATGGTCGTGTCACATGCTCTCACTAACGTTTCTGTCAGCTCGTCCGCATTTAGATCTACGGGACTCCCGTCCACACGAAGTGCCTCAACGAACAAATCCTTGTCGAAAGCTTTCGTCTTCCACTTTCGCTCACAAGTTCTCGTCCTCCGTACTGCCACAGTATTCCGTTGACCGATGCCATATCGTATCGCCTGATGGTCGCTATGGGTATATCCTTCGCACACTCTCCAATCCATGTTTGCCATCAGCGACGGACTGCAGAAAGTAACGTCGATAATGGATTCTCGGCCATCTCTGCGAAAAGTGCTGCTGGTGCCTTTATTGGCCAGCATAACTTCCAGTTTTGCCAGAGCTTCCAGCAGACTGTGCCCTCTTGCATTGGAACACCTGCTTCCCCACTCCACTGCCCAAGCATTGAAGTCTCCTCCGATGACTACCGGTCGTCGTCCGACCAG